TATATATATATATGTATATATATTTGTACTCATATATATATATATATATATAATTTATATTTATATATATATGTTTATGTATAATACAATTTGTTTATGTACTATTTCCTATCCACTTAAGTTGATAGGAGTTTTCACCTATATATGTATATATATTATATTTTTTATATATATGTTTATGTATAATACAATTTGTTTATGTAATTTCTATAAGTATTTACAATTTGTTTATATATAATATATGAATGACATGATTATTAATAAAAAATTTATTTTTATCATCTTTTATTTTTATAATTTTTTGTACTTGTAATTTATGTTATTTTAATTAATTAAAAAATGTTATGTTATTTTTTGTAATTTTTATGTATATTTTATGCTTTATTGTTTTTTTTTTAATTTAAAAAAATTTAAAAATAAAAAAAACCGGGCCAGCCCGGAGCCCGGCCCGCTCAGGCCCGGGCCCAGCCCGGACCACCCGGGCTCGGGTCCGGGCTTCGGTTTTGCCCGGACCAGATGGACAGGTCTAATTATACTTAGCATTACATGAGAGAAAAGGAGGTGTTGGAGAGGGGGATCTTATTCTAGCATAAAAAGGGTTCATCCACTGGCCAATTTTGTTTTCAGGCAATCAAATATTAGGATTTAAACTTTCGGAGGAACAAAACAAAATCCATTTGTTATGTCACTATTGTACTTGAAACTAGTTTAGGTAACAGCGTACCGATTACCGTGTTGCTCATAGAGGAAACGCGTAGTACACCCGCTGCCCAAAGGTACATATTGTTTTCGTCCCATAATCATTTATATGCTATTCTCTTCTTGTAATAGCCTTAATTCTCCGTAAGAACTTTTTCATTTTTTTCCCCAGCATATTTACATAAAAGACCTGCTAAGATTCAAGATGCTCTGAACTAAATGATCTTGCCGAGAAGAGCATAATAATATGACAACATTTTAGGGAGGCTTAGACCAAAGTGAGAGGAAGGTAAACAATATAAAATTGAGAACAATTAAGAGTAAAACAAATAACAGAATGAGAAAGAATGCGTTGAATACACAAGTGTATCCTAGTATATAGCAAGAATCATTCCACAATTAGCAGAATGACATTGATACGCTCGCTTGCTAAGGTCTTTTTACAAAAATAATCGATATCCATTGGCCTTCAAAGACAATGGGCAACCCATAAGTCACTGTAAAGGGACAAGTAATATGCACCGATACAATAAATTAATCTCACAACTTTTGGATTTCACCTGCTGATATCTCTTATTTCCTCCCCACGAAAGCACATCAACATAACATGACCACGGAGGAATTTTTGAAATATATGTCCCATAAACAAATTTCCTTTTAGCTCACGTAGGGTGTGTTTGGTAATCGATGTGTTTGTTTTTATTGTGTTTTTTAGAAAAACATCATGTCATGGTGTTTTTTTTTAAAACATGTTTTGAAAACACCATTTATAGTTATTATTTATAAACAGAAAGACGGCGGCGTGCGGTAGGTGGCTTGCGACGGGACGCGGCGGGCAGGACGACGACCGTCGGCTGAACGGCGCCGACGATGGCCGCAGCGGGCGGCGGCGGCTGGCAGGTGGCCCAGAGCCGCGGGATGCGCGCGGACTAGCGGGCCCGGGCGGGCGGGCGACGAGGTGATGAATCGTGGCGCCGGCAGCCGCGACCGGCGATGACGACCGTCAGCGGGTGGCGACGAGCCGGGAGGTGACGACGATCGACGGGTGTGGGCGATGGGCGGGCAGGCGGAGGGTAGCCGGCGACCGACCATGGGTAGGCGGGCGGACGAACGACCCGCGGCGCCAGTGGGCGGTGACGGGAGGCAGGACGGCAGGCGGGCGTGGCGGTGGCCGCGCGGGCCGGGCAGCGCGGTGGCAGTCCGGACGTCAGGGCGGGCAGGCCGGCGATGCGGCGCGACGACCGGCGGGCGACAATGGGCAGGCGACGGCAAACGATGGCGACGGCCGACGGGCGGCGGCAGGGGTGGCGGTTGCAGACGGCGAGCGATGAGTTGGAAAAACAAAACTCAAACACATTTTTGGTGTTTTGATAACATTGTTTATTTTTTGGATTTTGTAAGGGTCAATCCAAAGAAAACGCCCCGGTTGCCAAACGGCTTTTATTGTTGTTTGTTATAAAACAAAAACAGAACAACAAAAAAGCATAACGGTTTCACAATGTTCCTACAACGCATGATCACCCGCTTTGTTATTCCCGTAAAGGTTTGCATAGACGCTAGCTCTTTGGTTCTACAAACAAGAACAAGGTCAAGGTCATCGCAACAACGCAGAGTGCACACATAATCAATGAAGAAATGAAGAACCACATAGCCCCCCCACATTTCAATGCCTGGCCTCAATCAATAGCAAGAAGAGGTTGTTGTAAACTATGGTGATTATGTTGTTTCTCTGCTTCATAGTCCTATGTAGTGTTAGGTAAATATCAGATACGCTCTGACACCCGTTGTTGGGGATTCAAGGTACCAAATGTTGGTACAACTGCTCCTTAGCTATTCGACCACCTGTCAAATATGAATCCTCTGTGAAATTTACCCTACCGGATCTTGTGTTAAGTAATGAAAAAAAGAAATCACAGCAAATCAAAAAATAATTGCAAGAATAGAGAACACCGAGTTTTAACGAGGTTCGGCAACTTGCCTACATCATCGGGAGCCACACAAATATTTCCTTTATATTAAAGAAGATTACAAAACTTGTATAAGAAC